CCAGGGAAAGAAACAGAAGCCCTGACTTGTCCAAATATATCCCAGAGAGAACTCAGACCAGGTGAGAGTGTTTCTCGTGTGTCCCCCGCCTGCCCCGTCTTCTGACCCAGTGAGAGAAATTACACTCAACACTTGAAAGAAGCGTGAGGAAGGAACGGGGAGAAAGGAGTGTCCTAAGAAGTGAAAAGAAGAATTTGCATGTAACCAAGCCTATTCATCTTTCTATTCTATATCATACACTTCTACAAAAATAGAATTTGCCAGCCAGGATTAGCCCTGGGGATTAAATCACTTGAGATCACTGTTCCTGCAGCAAGGAGGGACCCGACAGAATATGCAGACAGTGAGCCGTGCGGGCTGTGTGCAGAAAGCCAGGCCTTCCCGCACCCCCACAGTGAACCAACCACGGTGCGTTGCTCCCACAGCTGACCCTGATCTTCCTGGACCTGCCGCCAACTGAATCCAGTACACTCCATGAAGAAAATTCGTGCTGGGGTGTTAGTTGGGTAGCCCTTCTCCTTCATGAGTATCCGTGGTTATCAAACACCTGTTTTCCTATCTGCAATCCCTGGGCTGGGCCTCCTCGGTTCTTTGTCAGGGTAAATCTCACTTTCCTGGGGCTTGTGGGCTGCGTCACAGGGTTAAAGAGAGGACCATTCACTGCAAGGGAAGAAAGATGCTGCATCAGTGACATCAACTGAAAGATCTTAGACTCTGGATCAAAACATCATACAGACCCCAGCTGGCCGTTCTCATTTGTAACAAACACATGAGCAGTATTCTGCCAGCAGGAGAGGCGCGAGCAAGACCTAGGACAAGTTAGACACCAACAGGCAGTAGTGGTAGTCACGGCAGGGGAAGCTGACATCACAACCAACAGCAGTCACACTAATACTGAGAGCAGGGCTTTTTGCTTTCCTCGCATACACTACAACCCAGTGGAGCACTGATTTTAGCAAACAGGTATATCCTCTAAGCTGTGTGGGGTTTTGCTGAAGTGAATGCTGAACAGTGGAATGTTGTTCAATGGCAAATTCCATTCATTATAGACACAGTCTCCTGGGCTTCTCCCTGGCATCTCCGAATGAGGAATCGGGCACATTTGATCACTAAATCGCAATCATGCCTGCCACTTCTTAAGTGCTTCCTAAATGCCAAGAGTTGTGCCAAGAGCATTGCAGACTTTACCCCAGTGCGTCATCAGAACAACCCAGTGGGGTGGGTATAGCTCTTGCCTCACTCTACAGAGGATGAGACTGAGGTTGCAAAGGTAACTTACGAAGACCACGCACGTTGTCGTGATTCATGGCACGGAGCCATCTGACCCACGGCGCCAAACCTGGGTCTTGAGAGAGCCCGTTCTGAGCCACCGTTCCCCTGGGTAAGACGTGAAAAGGACTGAATTCCAAACCTAAGGCCGGCTGCTAGCTCTCCTGCACGTGTCGTCTCTCGGCCCCACACAGCTGTTTCGTATCTCTAAACCTGAGTTTCCTTTTAGCAGAATGAGGCTGGTTCTCCTGCCCCATGATTGTCACAGTAACCAAATGAGGGCCGGGACCAAGTCCGTTTTGCATTCCCCCACGTCTCACACTCGATAACCGTGGAGTACAGGAATACTGCTCCCAGGGGTGCTTAGAAAGCTGCAGCGTGTCATACAGTGCAAATGGACCGGAGTCGTAAATGGCTGCAGCCCGTGGCCACTTTTGCTGCCTGCCGGCTCTGCCACTGTGTGACCTCCCAGGATAACTTGGGAGTTTATTGCTAAGGTGCACAAACCTCATGGGGCCTCCCAGTACTCAAAGGAACGCCCCCTGCAGTCTTCTAACTCCAGTAGGGAATCATGCTGAGTGCCCACTCCCCTGGGATGGCTCCAGGTCACCAAGGTTTACGAGGGAAACATCTGTTGCATATTCCCTGGCTGCCGCCCAGCTTACCCACCATCCCCTAGGCCTCGTGTGTACGGTCTTAACATCTTCATGGGGTGTTAGTAATAACACCCCAGTGTTTCTCCAAAGCAAAGATTTGCCCAGGAATAAAAGGAATACATTTGGCCCCAGAGAGAAATGCTAGAAAGCAAGGCTCCCAATGCCAACCTACAGGTGAAAGGAAAAAAACAAACCTCTAATGGGCTGTGACACTCCCAGACCCAAGCCTGCAAAAACACTGAGTCTGCATTTAAGCATCCTGACTTGTGAGACAAGGCAGCTCAACTGCCTCCCAGCCTGGCATGTCTGCACACACCACAACTTGATGTCCTGAGAATAAGGCCCCACTCCGAGGTCTGCTCTGCCCCCATTATCCATGGCAATTCAGGGTCCAGGGTCCAGGGGGTCTCCCTACCACCAGCAACATCCTCCATCAGGTCAGGACGTGACTGGTGAAAATACAAGAGATTGAAATACACACACACACACACACACACACACACCTCCTGCAGCCCAGTCCTGGCCATTACACTATGCAGGATGCCCCATCTCCAAGATCCAGGGGAAACGCCCCCACCTTTCCACTCTAAAAACTGCTCTTCACTTCCCTATCACTGGATCACAAGTGGAACTGAGGCAGTGGGTGGAGCCATCTGGCTCTATCCCTTTGTCTCCTAAAAAAAAACTCGGAGGGGGCCCAGGAAGGCCCCACTGGGGCACTGACTGCCTGGAGACAGATTGTCTGGCAGGGATGACGCCACCCGGCAGAGGGTAGGGAAACGTGCTACCGCGTTTGCAGTCGGCCCCATCTGTGCAGCGCTGCTCTGTCCGTGGCAGCCACGGAATGGCTCACCAGCAGAAGCCAGGCTGCTTGGAGAAATCTGTAGGGACTGGGAGGACCTGACCCACTGTCAGGGGCCTGCGAGGGTTGGCACAGGCTCAGAACACAAGCCAGGAAACGCAGGGCCTTTCACGGCAGCACATGGACTCCGAGTTCTAAGAACTTGCTGAGGCCGGCGCTATGGCATAGCAGGTTAAGCCACCGCCTGCAGTGTCCGCATCCCATTTGGGCACTGGTTCAAGTCCCGGCTGCTCCATTTCCAATCCAGCTCTCTGCTATGGCCTGGGAAAGCAGTGGAAGATGGTCCAAGTCCTTGGCCCCTGTGCCCACGTGGGAGACCCAGAAGAAGCTCCTGGCTCCTGGCTTTGGATCACAGCATCTCCAGCCATTGCAGCCAACTGGAGAGTGAACCAGCCGATGGAAGACCTCTCTCTCTCTCTCTCTCTCTCTCTCTCTCTCTCTGCTTCTCCTTCACTCCCTTTGTAACACTTTCAAATAAATAAATCTTTTTTTAAAAAAAGAAAGTTGCCGTCCCTGGTGCTGAGTTGCACTTTGGACACAGAAGGATGAAGAGGATGCCACGGCTGCCCCCTGGGGCTCACAGGCTGTGGCCAGAGCAAAGTTAGAGAAAGGCTAACCCAAGCTGGACTCAGAAGGGCTTCAGATTCTCTCTACATTTGTGGGTCAGCAAACATGATCCAGAGCATACAGAAGGAAAATACAAGAACGTTTTCTCTTTACGCAATTAAGTACATAATAACGTAAGCTTCATTAGCATTCACCGTGAGAAAAGACCTTAGAGCCTTCACTTGGTCCACTCATCGGCCATCCTGAGTCACCCAGGCTCCTGAGAGACCTCCGGGGGCGGGGCAATGCAGACATTTCACGCTGTGCTGGGATTTGGCTTCCTGGAGCTCAGTGTGACCTGTTACAGTCAGGTCTGCTTACCTGGAACTAAGACAGGACCTGAGCATCCCCCAAACAGGCAAGTGGTTCAAATCTTTTTCTAAAAAGAAACTGTTGAAGAAATTGCCCAAGGTAAGATGAGTACCAAGAAAGGACACACCTGATGCGGTCTTCACCACATTACAAGGGAAAATGCCAGCCATGTCATCAGACCTCACAAGTCAGCCAGAAGATTATCAAATAACCAAGGAGATTATTTGAAATGTAGCTTTGCATATACTGTCGGTAATGAGGAATCTAATCCTAATGCAAATGATGCTGAAGACATTAGCTAATGAGAGTAATGAAGCCGCTACAATTAACAAGGCACTTAAGCATTCTGTTTACTTATCTTTACCACGGCTTTTTTCAAATTGATATTCATGCAGGCTTTATGATGAACAAAATGCATTGGTATGGTAATGCATGTATAAAGTTACAAACAAATGAGTGTAGAAGTACCCCTGCTGGGAGTGCTTACTCAGCAACTAACAGGAGGGACTCAGGCCGGCTTGGAAGCCAGTGCCATAAACAACACAACTCAGAGTTGGCCTGGACAGCCATCCAGACCCCCCTGTTCTTCCCAGACAGGTCTTCGGCTTTCACCCTCAGCAAGAGGCAGGAAAACATTCAAAAGGGAGGCTGGCCGGGGCCAGTGTTGTGGCACAGATGGTTCAGCCGCCTCTTGGGACACCCACGTGGTGTCTCAGATATCCCAGTGCCTCTGCTTCCTATCCAGCTCCCTCCTAGGAGGCAGCAGGTGATGACTCAAGCACTTGGGCCTCTGCCACCCACATGGGAGAACCAGAGTTCTGGGCTCCTGGCTTTGGCCTGGCCCAGCTCCAGCTGTTGTGGGCATTTAGGGGAGTAAACCGCCAGATGGAAGATTTCTCCCTCTCTCTTTTTCTCTCTGTCTGTCTCTCTTTTTCTGTCTCCTCCCTCCTCTTCATATAGATGAAAATAAATAAGCATTTTAGAAAGGGTTTGCTTCAAAAAATGGAGGAGAGGCTGCCTTCACAGCTTTGTCAAAGCCCCTCCCACAGTGTGAGAAGCCCTGGTTTAACCAAACTGCTTCTCCAGGCTGTGACCATGTGCCAGGGAGCAACCCAGACCAACTAAACCTCAGTTCTGCAACTCTCACAGATGTGGGACAATTCCTGTCAATTCTGTGGCCTCAGTTGCACACATGCAAACCAAAGGATTTTTTATGAAGCACAACATGGGGAAAAGGAGGAAGGTATTAGTCAGCCTCTAACTTCATAAAAGAACAAAGGGTTGCTTCAGCTCACAGTTTTGGAGGTTCAAGTCCTCTGGTGAGGGCGCAGATGGGAAGGAACGGTGGAGTCCAGGCACAGGGAGGGTCACAGGTGGCGCCTGGAAGCAGAGCGAGCCATGGAGTGGAGGCAGCCTTTTATAAGCAACCCCTCTCACAAGCCCCACCTTCTGAGGGCAAGCCCCTACCACCCAAGGGCCTCCCACCAGGCCCACCTCCCAAACAGCAGAATTGGATCAAGTTCCCTCCTTCTTAGTACAATTAACTTACCAAAGCTTAAAGTACTGCATGAATTCAGGAGCCAAACCACGTTCAATAGCAAGGAGCTTTTATTCTGGAGCTTTTAATGATCTTAATGGCAGTAATGACACCATAGCAATCAACAGGATATTTAAGAGTTCTGTTTATATTGACATTCCCACTTACATTACCTTAACCATTTATGTAAACTCTATGAATAGGTATTAAAATATACAACAAGCGGAATAGCTGGGCTGCAGATTTTTTTGTTTGTTTTTTCAACAAGGATAGTTTAATAAAGAAATAAAGAAATAAACAAATGAAAACAATCTATGGCAATCATAAAGGATATCTCTATATTTAGATATTTCTTAGTGGGGTTACTATTTATTTCCCTCATAGTAATTATTTCTGTTGGAGTGAAGAAGATAATGATAGACCAAAAGTTTAAAGATCCAACTCATGTTTTTAAGTTATGCCTCAAGTTTGTTTGCTTCTGATTTAGAGGGTATGAAATCCTGCACAGTGAATAAACTGAAATACAACTGCAATTGGAAGATGTTGCTGACTACCACTCGGCAACATTTGTCTCAGTTCCAGACTTCTAATAGACCTGAGTTGTTAACATCAGAAATGTCAAGTTGTCCTGGCTGGGTAAACTCAAAAAGGTCTTCATAACACTGAGTGGCAAAATGAAAGAGACCTTTAGTTCCATCTAAGAGATGATTCACCCCTCATCAGGGCTGCAGATTTATATGTCAGCAACTGGGAGGGTCAGTGCCATGGTTGAGGTGCAGCAGGTTAAGACGCCTAAGATGCCAGCATCCCATATGAGTGCCAGTTCAAGTCCCTGCTACTCCACTCCCAATCCAGCTCCCTGCTAAAGTGCCCAAATGCTTGCATGGGCCCCTGTACCCTCGTAGGAGACCTGGATGGAGTTCCAGGCTCCTGGTTTTGGCCTGGCCCAGCCCTGGCTGTTGCAGCCATTTGGGGAGTGAACCAGTAGATGAAAGGTCTCTCTTTCTGTATTCCTCTCTCTCTCTCTCTCTGTAACTCTGCCTTTTAAATAAATAAAAATAAAATATTTTTAAAATATGCTGATGGACTACTGTTTTTATAAATAACTAGTAGGGTTATACAGTGTAACAGTGGATTAGGAAACCCTGGACCAGGCAATCCTTATCTGGCACCCCGGCCTGAAATTCTATGATTGTTCCTGTCACTAACACATACAAACTAACGTATTGTAAAGTCCTCACAAATAACAGGACTCAGACCAGTGCGTCTCAGTCTCCATAGACCATTTTGTCCCTCCTGATCTCTGGCCCAGTCTAAGATAAACAAATACAGGGCAGAAGATGAATGAGGTGGCTCCTCGCCCTGACAGCACCTGCTGCATTGGAGGCAGGGTCAGGAGCGCTGGCCCATTTGTTTGTTACTTTAATAAACAATGCTGCCCGCTGTGCCGCTGTGGGAAGCTGAAAGGACTGTAGGAGCGGCGAGCTAACAGGCTAATAGGAACTGTCGCTGTCACTCACCCGGGCTCCTGCCTCTCCCAGCAGAACTGTGCGGGTTTGGTGCCCCCTGCTGTCCCCTTCCCTTTCCTGCC